TGTTACAACAAACATTTTGTTGGGATATAACTTCCAGTAACTTACAAATGTAATGACACGTGTTGAGTATTTCGTTCCGGACGTGATGTACCGTATTGGTAGCTTCACCGACAACAGGCGATCCAGCGTTAAGCAGAGTAGCATGAACGAAGAGGCGAAGTCGGACCATCGCCACATCCAGGCATGTGGCATTATCATGCACTGCAGTGGTGTGAGGGTTTTGTTCGTTCGGTGTGTCAGGATGACGAAAAGCCGGTACGCACCTCCTATCACTGTTGCGAATGCTGCAGCGAAAATTGTATTCCTTCTGGGTTAAACCAGTAACGATATGCTGTTTTCCCCACAGATGCTTACCTGGCGAAACAACATTGGTCAGAGCAATGGAAAAGCTACCATTGCTTAGTTAGCTGGAGAATCTGAATTACATCTTTTCAAAGTACACCATACGTTTTCAAGAGGACACAAAGGACAACTATATCGTGACGAAACGACTTCAGCCCTGCTTGATGTTTGCAAGCCAGCGGCAGTTCTTACTAATAAAATTGTTGTTGACAGGTGCTACCACTCGGACCCCTTCAAAGTGCGCCAACCTGGCATAGAGACTGGAATTTGAAGGTGAAATGGAGGAGACCGATTTTTGACTTTGATTTGATGTACTGTACGTATATGAACATAGTGTATAACCTTCAACAAATTCAGCGAACGACAGGGCACAGATGATTCGCATTTCATTGTGATATCGAAGTTTTTTGGAAGTTAGTATTGCTGTTATCAGTATGAAGTTGCAAGCTGTTGAACCGATGCCAAACGGAAAGAATAGAGCAACCTACAAAATAATTAACTAAACAATATTTGCTGCCAGGAAGGTTTAAAGAATTTTTTACGGAAAAGTTACCATTTTGTTTAAATAAGAATCGAAATGGGATTGGTGATAGTAAATTTTACCATTGGAGGTACCCTATTTAGTGGAGTTACTGAGATGCTTCCACGCGCCAGCGCAGCTATGCCAGGCCTCATGAACCAGTCAGTACCCACAGTTTCTCGCTTTATGGTCCGGCAGACGTTTGTCTCCTTGCTAGTACCATTAACTAATGAGAGGCATCCAACATTCATCAGCAAGGCTAGCAACATGTCCCACTCATCAGATATTTCTTTCTTGTGGGGTCGCAATGAAACATCTCGCACGTCGCTCATCTGGCTGAGAATCTAATTTTTATGCGTTTTGTGCTGTGTAACAGCGTTACAAAACGCATATTGTCACGGAGTTGTCTGT